TTGTTAATTTTTTATATTTAATAAAAAATTAATATATTAAATTAATATAAAATTATCAAATTAATTATATATAAGGAAAATTAAATAAAAACATTTTTCATTGAAAAAAAAAGTCTAGAGAAAAGTTTGTTAAGACGGCTTAAGCTGAGTTAGCTTTTTTTGGGACAAATCATATATGAGTTATATTTGATATTTAATTTAACAATTTTTAAATATAATTTTTAGACTTAATATTTATCCAAATATTTGAAAATTTATACTTAGTATCTAACTTAATAAGTATTAGGCAACTTACAAATATATACTTATATACTTAATTTAGAACAAAAAAGAGACTTAGTATTGGTTGTTATTATTATGTATATCGTGTGTTTAATTTAAAATATATTATTTATTTGAATTATTATTATTGAGTATATGAGTTCTTTCACTTAAAGTTTATTTTTGTATTTTATTATTTTTATTTTTAAAAATTAATGTTATTATATAAATATAAAATAAAATAAATGTTGAGTCAATGCACTTCAAGAGCAGAGTGAATTGGTGTTTAAAATTTTTTTTTCGTAATCACAAAACAAAAATTAAAAAAAGTAAGGAAACAGAGTTTACATAATAATTTTATAAAAGTTCGATTCAACCAGTTGAAATCTAGTCATCTACCTTAATTTCACTCACCAAGTATTTCCTTCACATTTTCTATTAAAAAGAACAATAGTGGTTTTTTTTTAACAATAAAAAATAATATTTATTAATAAACAGAGTATAAAGGGTACCTTCAATTCATAAATATCATTACTTAAAAAGTATTATATTACATAAGTGGAATACCCCTGCCATATGGTGTCGACACCAAAATTATGTGTCGACAAAATACTCGTGTTGGATTTCTGTCCTCTTTTGCAGTCAGCTCGATGACGTCTTGCATCTATGCATCTATTTGGGTTTTGGCACCAGTCTAGGAAAGAGTAGGGCCACTTTTCAGACTTTCCACTTAACGAAAAATAAGAATGACATTGAATCATCTTGAGCATGCTTTCTTCTGTTGCTCTAACTTCTCCACAAATAGCATCATTCCTTGCTAGCCAGATTGACCAAACAGTTGCATACCAGATTACCTACCATTCTTTTTTGTTCTTTGCCGCCCACAAATGTTGAATGAAGGCTTCCCTACGATTGTTGTGTAAAACATAACAGATGCCCCACTATTCAAAGCATTTGGACCATATTTTATAGGAGAAATCACACTTCATCGTTAAGTGATCTGCATCATTACAAAATAAACTAAAAAATTCTCATTACAAATTATTATTAAAAGAATAATTATATCTTTAAGATAACTCACAAATAAAACAAGAAAAAGATTATAAATAAAAATTACTCAAAGATAAAAATTTTAAGTTAAAGTATAAATTAGTAAGTAAAAATATTTAATACAATATTTAAAAATTTATTTCAGATCTTTTACTAATTATATTTATATCTTTTAATTAAAAATAATCATTTCTAATTGTTGAGGTTCAATAAATGCTCTATAATTTTGTTTAAATATGAGAAAAATATTAAATGTTCTATCACAACCGACGGCAAAGTTATAGTTGGCTTTATATCCATTTTTTCTCGCATCAAACTGTCAGTTTGAAAACTCTACCTGTAAAGTCAGCTACAATGTTTAAAGCTGGCTCTTTGCACTTTTTTCATCATAGCCGGTTGCAGAATTAATTCTAGAGCTGGATCTCAGTACTATTTTCATCGTATTTAGT